CTGCACACACACAGCCCTGCACACACAGCCCTGTACACACACAGCCTCTGCTACAGACCCTGCACACACACACACACACACAGACCCTGCACACACACAGCCTCTGCTTATAGATCCTGCACACACACAGCCACTGCCTATAGACCCTGCACACACAGAGCCTCTGCTTATAGACCCTGCACACACACAGCCCTGCACACACACAGCCCATGCCTATAGACTGCACACAGACGCAGTCCCTACACGACCCTGCACATAAACACAGCCCCTGCCCTGCTCAGGCATTCCCTCAGATAAGCCTCTGGAGCACAGGTTGATCTAGCTGAGGCCACGTCTCTGAATAAATTCCCCCTAAAATGTGCTTCCCATCCCAAATAAGTAAAAAAAATAATAGTCAATAAAAACACACTATGTCCCACGGATCCAGATATGCTCAGTGTGCAGCACGCCTGTGAAAAGTGCTTTAAAAAACAAGCAAAATGATAAACGTGGCTTTGCTTAAATCTCCAGCTCATTGCCAATTCCATGAGCATTCCTCTCCTGGAATCACAGAATTATAGGAGTTGGAATGGACCTTACAGATCAACTAGTCCCAACCCTTCCTGCCCATGGGCAGGGACACCTCCCCACTAGACCAGGCTGCCTCCTTTCTACATTTTATGTAGAAATATAACCATAGAATCATAGAATTCTATGGAAGGGACCTCGAAAGTTTATCTAGTCCAACCCCCCTGCAGTGCCATCTCATGACTCCAGTCGTGGATTTGTCCCACCAAATTTCAGTGTGGAAACCAGGTTGCAGCTTCCTAAGAGCACAGTGCCTTCCAACTCCTCCTGTTTGTTGCCCATGCTGTGTGTGTTGGTGTGAGGCACTTCAGCTGGGCTGTCAGCCGTGTCACCTTCTTAGAGGAACACACCTTAACTCCTCTGAGGTATTCCACTGGTGTTTCCCTCTTAGCTTCTACTACCTCAGGAGCCTCTGGCTCATCTCTGTAAGACCTCAAGTGTGCTGCAGTATAGCCAGCATGTCTCAGAGCAACAGGCTGAGGGCTCTCACTAGCACTTGTCCCTGGTGCAGGAGGGATGCAAGATCCTCTTCCCCTATCAAGAAGGGCAAATCCCATCTGACACTGGCAAGCCTGGTGCCATGTAGACCATCCCATTATCAAAATACCCCCAAAATCGTGGTGATTAGATCAGTCATGGAGCTATGTATTAATACATGGACACATTTGTTTCTTTCAGTGTCACTGCCTGCAAGTGGAAGGATAGAGGAAAGAATTGCCTCTGCTCTACATTCCCTCACCAACCATTGCAAGGCCCTGAGGTATCTTTTGATTGCCCTTGGAAATCATAGAATCACAGAATGGTTTGGGTTGAAAGGGACCTTAAAAATCATCTAGTTTCAATCCCCCTGCCATGGGCACTGACACCTCCCACTAGGATCAGGTTGCTCAAGGCTTTATCCAACCTGGCTTTGAGCACTGCCAGACTTGGGAAATCCGCTACCTCCCTGAGTAACCTATTCCAGTGTCTCACCACCCTTACACTAAAAAACTCTTCCCTAATATCTATCTGAATTTCCCCTTTCAGTTTATACCCAATCACCACACCCTTTGGCTTCTCCCAGCACCCAGCAGTGGCTCCCAACACCTCCCACTCACACAGTGCACATGGGAACACCAAGAGCAGCATGCACCTTTCCTGCTAAAGTACATCCCGTCTACAGATCATCATGACCAAGCACAGCAGAGAGCTTTCCATATTTTATTTTCACCTTTTCATTTATGATAGTACAATAATGTAAGTTAACAACAACAAAAAAAATAAAATCTAGTGCCAAGTTCCACGGTGTCAAGTACTCCACTCCAAACCATGAGTGTCCATTAGCAGTCAAAATTCATTAACTCCAGGTTTACAGCAACTCTGCCTTTGGGAGGACTTGGTCACAGAGGGCACCACTAGAATTCTACACCGTTCCCAGAGAGCAAGCCATCCCATGGCTCCAGGCTCCACAGCTCCTTGAATGTTTGGCTTGGTTTGTCTCCCACCACCCACAGGATCTGGAGCAGAAAATGGGCCAAGGGAGTGGGTAACTTGATTTCCATTTCCATAAAAGACAAACCTTCTGGTGAAACACTTTGCGTGGATGGCAAATCCAAGGTGTGTAAACACAGCCAGAGCAACACAGCGACTGGAGGAAGACGGTAAGTGCAACTAAGGCAAAAGGGAGTAACTTCTCTTTTGACATGATCAGGGCAGATGGTTGAGGTGAGGAAATGATTCAGTAGCAAAACAGGTATCACAGTACACCTGGACTACAGAATCAGTGAGCATATAGCTTGACTGTGATCTATGTTTACAAATTCTGAAGAACATTTAAAACCTCTTCCTCCCACAAATGTAGTCTGCTGCACTATTCAAAAACACAGAATCTTGCTTTTACTGACATTTAAGGCTATTATGACCAAAAATAAGTGCAGGACTCCTCTTCTAGAACTAAGTATAAAAGTCAATCCACTCTAGAATGTCCCAGACAACTCTAAGTACAACCATCTATTTTCCAAAACAAATCAACTCATTTTTATATTTGGAAGACAAGAAAATTTATACTGCTGAAGTTGGTCTTCATACACATACTTTTGTCTTAGAAACACACAGATACCAGGAGTTACCACTGTAAGGTAAGTCCAGCTCAGGACACCCACCCTCTGCTGAATGCAGATCTGTTGGTGGGAGAGGTTCACCACTGCTCTTTGCCTCAAAGTACCAGATCATCAAAAGATCTACTAGGAAACATCTTATGGTTAATCCACGTGTTTTGAGACAGGCTGAGGATGTACTCACACAAGCACATCTCAAGAAGCAGCAGTTTCTGGGAAGGAGTTCTGGGAAGACGATGTCTGCCTGGAGCCTTAAGTGCTGTTGCCCAAGCCAGAATTATGAAGGAGCAGTAGAAATGGACACAGTCCTAGCTGTGACCACAGCTCCCAGTTCTCTTCATGGGCACAAGAGGATACTTTGCATATTATACATGCACCTGTGAAAGTGGAATGCATTACAGCCCCTACATTTGGGAGGGTGAGGATCCTTTTCATCACAGGAAAGTGGTAAATTTTGTATTCCCTGAATTAGGCAAGTGTTGCTGGTGGTTTAAGAGTCAGTTGAATCTGGTCCATAAGCAGCAACAAGCTAGGCAGGGCTTCACAAACATGGCTACGACCAACGCTTCTTCCTCCTAACCTTAAAGTGCTGGGAAAATGCAGCATGACCAGACTAGTAGCCTAGCAAAAAACTTCCACAGTCCTACCATACCATTTCCTAACATGACAGACGAGGTTCCTAGGTGTTTAGACCATGAAATCCTCCACGGATGCTGAGGGAAGAATTTCGTAAGGAAAAAATACAAGTAACTGGTTAACAGTAAAAAAAGATGGTGACTCCAATTTTGGTATGGTCAACCAGCATTTTTAGAACACAAATGACCCCTTCCAATACAGGGCTATCACTTCATTTATTCACTAACATTTTTCACTGAAAAATGCTCCTCCAATTACAAACATCAAAGACAAAAGCGCATTAGGTAAGTTTTGCAACTTATTAGAAGATCTTTTTTTCATACATTTCCTATTTTTATCTTGACAGGACAGCTAGCCTTAAAACATATGGATAAAGGCTCACTACCTAAGGGCTATTTCTAAACATTCTCAGTCTGACTCACTTGGGAGGAAAGATCTTTATTTTCCCCACAGAAGAGGCTCCTTACCAGGCACTACTTCACCAGCCGCTGCATATATAACTGACCTACCAACCAGCAGCATCAGTGAAAAAGTAACTCCTACTACAGTTACATTAGCTACAGGCTAACACACTCTACAGTACAGTCAGAGGCTCTGACCACAGACTACAGGCTCTGACCAATGACTGCAAAGTTGGCTGCACCCACTCAAAGTTACTATCTCCTGCAAAAGCTTATTTTTCACCTAACAGAGAAGGTTAAGCACAGCGTGTACCCGACTGCAAGAAGTCAGTCATAACCCTCAGGCAGATGGCATTGCTAAAATAAAGCTATGTCACTTTGCACATTCACTGATTGCCTTAACACATACTAGAAATAATCACTGCATTTCTCCCATTATATATAACATCATGAATTCAAGAAAATCAGAAAAAAAAGTATAAAAAAACCTTTCCAAATAGCTCCTTGGTTATACCTTGCTTGAACTGAACGCTTGGTATTTGAGCAGCATGAGTAACCTCATTTCATTTCCCACCATAACTCAAGACAGAACACAAATAATAAAAATACAAATAATCTATAAAAACCACAGTACATCAGAAATCTATGTAAAAAATGTATGTCTGTATCAAGGAGCTCAGTAACAACTTAAAGCACCACTCAAAATTAGGTACCATACATGTTACAGTACATTCCATTTATTATGACAATTTAAGGCTAAAATAGGTATGACTCCCTTATAGTCAAGCTTTCTATATTTATAAATGCATACAAACATTAAGTAAATACAAATGCTTAGGGGTTTTTTTATTGCTCTGAACCGTCTACTAGAATGTTCAACTTTCCCAGATGTTGTCTCAGTTTGCCTTTTTCAATCAAGCTGAAGTCCTACAACTGCAACTTATGGCACTTGTACGATTACAGACCTTCTTTGATTTGAGCTGTAAATAAATTCAAAGATACATCAGACAAAATTGCCCATCATTGAAAAATTCATAACTTAGTTAACTAAACATTCATCCATAAGATACATAATTCACCACAAGGATTATTTCTCTCACTCTTCAGGAAGGATTTTCTTTTCAAAGTAATAGTTCTAACCAAGCGGCAAACAAAGACAACCAGCAAGAAATGATTGACTGGTATCAGTCTAACAGACTGGGCTTTAAAAAAAAAAAGAAAGAAAAGGAAGCTGAATATGTGCTCCAAAACAAAGAGCAAACTTTTCTTCTTGCTCACAGAGCAATTATCTTTCCTAATTATGTATGGCAATGACTCATTCTGCCAGTGCCAAATTCTTTGACTGTAGCTTGTCCATTTCTTGGCCAATATTTCCTTCAATGGTATCACACTGGGCAAGAAAAACCTGAGAATGAGAAACAAACAGATGTTACTGGATATGCAATTTAGCAATGGTAGATGCTTCTGGGGAATAGAAACTGCAGTTTCTATCATGAATTTGAAGAAGCCAACTTTAATAACCACCTTGCAGTTGTTCTGACATTAGCTGATTCACACTTGCATTTACCCAGAATCCCACAGAAACATGACATTGGATAAGGCAATAAAACAGCTGTCCATCATGACTCATCCTGTCACTGAAGTACTTGCAGTTGATCCAAAGTCCATCAATAATAAGAAACATAAAGGTTCAGACAAGTTACTGCTTCAGTTTGGAACATGACTTTTAAGCTCCTTGGGTAGCCAAGTGTGGGAGTGACAAACCTATTCAGTCAAATCTAAAATAAACTTTCATTACGCCAAGGCCTCTTCTGTTTCTCAGGACTACAGGACACCATTGAATCTTCATCTTTATCAGTAAGTAGCTGGTGTGCCTCAGAAGACAGAAAGCTCCTTTTGAGGAAGGGCAGTCCACAGCACCGTAAGATTTCTTAGAACCTGCCCACAAGTTCTCACAAGCAAAGCAATTAAGAGCCAGCAGCCCCTGGTCACTTTGTCTGTCCTGTACACAGCACAACGCACCAGCACTTTAAGCCAACAATTTTAGGCCAATCACAAGGTATGTGAGTACACTGCAGTTTCTGAGAAAATTCACCTACTACATATTCATGTCTTGCACTCGGTTTTGCCATGTCTGCACCACTCTAATAGTCAAACCAGGTATTTCATGTTATTTACATTCAAATGACATTAAGAAACTTCTTTCCCTCTGGAGCAGTGAACTGTTGTGCCAGGTGAACATTTCTCAACCATCACACTGTTTTGAATCATCTGTCTCCATCCCATCCTGTCATCAACTCACATCTGTAAGGGCTTGAGGGATGGAAAAGCCAAGGTGGTAACAACTGCAGTTGCTGGCTGCTAGTGGTTTATATTTATCTCGCCATCCTGCAAGACATGTGATTGCCAGCAACAGAAGGCAGTTAACAGCTCCCTCTTGCTTTCATGAATACTTAAGAGTAATAAGCATAACTTGCAATTGTTTTCTTGTTCTTGTTCTTGAAAAACAAATTGCTGTTAACTGCTTTGGTCTGAAATGCCTGAAGATTCTTCTGCAGTCCTCAAAAGGTTCATAACCTACAGTTTCAGAACACTGTGCCTATAAAAGCACACCAGTAATTCTGATCTCTGCTCAACAATCTGGTTTATGCTTTAACAGCAGTTCTTATACGAAGTCTCACTTATTTCTGCAGTAACTTCACCCAAGAGTGGAGGTCTAGCAGCTTGTTTATAGCCGTGAGTCTATTACAAAGTTTTGCTGCTTTGGTTAGGTACATGGAATTTAGAGCATGTTCAGAGCTCCATAACACACAGCTACACCAGCAACCACCTTCATTTCAATTTGCATTATCTGAACTGACCTCAAGAACTGCGTACAAAGTGCTTTGTCTCTAAAGCTATAACTAAAGCCATTTCTGCTGTGATGTGCGTCTTGGCAGGGCTTCCTCTAAAATAGATGGCTACTTCAAAAAATTTATAAAATATCAACAAGAAGTATTTAATAAGATTACAGTAAAAGACAAAACCTTTCAACTCCATATATGAATGCATAATACCTCCACAAACAATTTTCAGGAGTCTAACCTGGGACTGAAGCTAGCACAATACAAATAAAACCAGTAATACAGGTAGTATTACTATTCATTTATGTAAGTTTGACTGGGGGGGGTGTGAATTCCAGTATTTAGTAACAAACAAATTAGTTGGAATCATCCGAGTTATGACATGAAGCTGTGCCAGGGGAGGTTTGGGTGGATATTAGGAAAAAGTTCTTCACCCAGAGGGGGGTTGGGCACTGGAACAGGCTCCCCAGGGAACTGGTCATGGCACCAAGCCTGACAGAGTTCAAGAAGCATTTGGATAGCATTCTCAGGCACATGGTGGGATTCTTGGGGCTGTCCTGTGCAAAGCCAAGAGCTGGACTTTGATGATCCTTGTGGGTCCATTCCAGCTCAGAATATTCTGTGAAACCTTCAGTTCAAGGTCTCTAAGGAGACAGTGCCTAGGAATTTACAAGCATCACACAATAGCAAAGCAACTAAAAAAAAATACTCCCCAGCACAGCTGCTCTTCTCTGCAGATTTTACTTTAAAAACCTAATCTCTACAGAAAGTTGGTACATTGCAATAGAAGCTGAATTTTCCAAAGAAAACCTCTGGCAAGGTCCAGCAGGAGTTACAGCTGACTGCATCCTTGTGCCCAGACCTCAGGCATTACTCCAGCCCATCAAGATACCAAAAAAAGGGAGGAATGATCAGTCCCATTTTCTTTACAAGTTATCAGAATTACTTTAAATCATCATGCAGCCATAAGGCCAATTACTAACAGAAATGACAAACACTATCTGAAAACAGCACAAACTATGAAAATCTGTATTTTTGTATGCTGTTTTATAAAGCTATAATATATAAATACCTAATTTATAAAGCTATAAAGGGAGGTCATAAGAAAGAAATACCAATGTAAGAACAAACACTGAAAAAATCTAAACAGCTCATTTTCACAAACTCTTGGTATACAAGTGCACAGCATTAATGAAGGGAGAAAAAAATAGAAAGGAAAAAAACAACCCGAGAAAACTCACCTGAACCCTCTTCACCAGCCCCTTCTTTTTCAGTTTGCAATCACTGAAATTCTCTGGCAGATTCTGCAGTAAAATAAACAAACAAGGTGATGCAGCTTAATGCTGAAATTAACACATTAGACTTACAGGAAACACTGAAACTATCAAAGAATAGTCTGAACAGGCACCCTGAAAATGTCATGCCTGCTCAGTGAGGATGATTATTCAAGTAGGACTTTATAAGAAAAAGTCAGAGATGCAGCATGCTGGCTGCAAAGAACTGAGCGAGCAAAGTTACCACGTGCCTTTGGGTGATATACAGCAATAGATTACATACACTGCTTTTTCTACTCTGGTGTATGCTAACTGTTCTGCTGAGCTTCAGTTTTAGTCAGAGACTATAACATAAACTAATTTCTTACAAATCCATTACTCAATCACTCACCATCACTAGAGTGTATCAGCAGTAACACAGGCACTGCCAGGCTGTTTAACCCCTACATCTGATCTTCTCTGCAATGTACTCAGGGAATGCAACAGATGTGAAGTGTTACATGCTGTCAGCTTCTCATTTAATTCAAACTGCATCATATTCTCTACTCCTACCACCTGATATATTCATGTATGTCAGCCTGCCAAATGTTAGATGCTTTGTCCTTTCCAAGCTATGTGAAAATGGGTTCCTGCTGGGGAATGGGGCTCAGCTTTGTGATGGGGTTTTTTTGAAACAGGTAAAACAGCTGTACAGATGGATTTCATCATACAAAGTTCATGTGAACATTCTTAGAAACACTGTGCCCTCACTGTTGAAGATGTGTAACAATCTCACTAGTATACCTTTTATTTTCCACCCTAACTCCGTATCAAGAATAGAAGTTTCCCTAAATTGCTCTCTGTTTAATTTCAGCTAAAATGTCAGCCCCACTGGGAGGTTTAGATACATAAACTTTTATAAGAATCAAAAAAACTAAAAAGGTGCTCTTTTCCTTTGGTGTCCAGTCAAATGGTCTCAAATACAGGAGTCTGGCACATAAGCTAATATAAGAGTTAAAAATACACAAGACTCCACACCAAAAAAACTCAGTTATTTGTGGGAAGTGAAACTATAGGCATCACTGAGATCCCAGGGACCACATTGCTCTGGTATTTGTGCAGTAATTAAGACACTGCAAGTCATATCAGAGAAAGAAATACTAATTACCAGGCTTAGCACACCTTCCCAGAACTGTGGGTGAGGAGAAAACGGCCATGCAACAGAGTGAGCTGAGACACATGCTTACAGCTCTGGGGTCCCCAACATTAGAAGAACGTGGACTTGTTGGAATGAGTCCAGAGGAGGGCTGAGAAGATGATCAGAGGGCTGGAGCACCTCTCCCATGAAGACAGGTTGAGAGATTTGGAGCTGGTCAGCCTGGAAAAGAGCAGGCTCTGGGGAGACCTTAGAACACCTTCCATCCAGTACCTAAAGGAGGACTATAACAAGGCTGGAAAAGGACTTTTTGCAAGGGCATGAAGTGATAGGACAAGGAGGAAATGTTTTATACTGAAAGAGGGAAGGTCTAGATTAGATATGAAGAAGAAATTATTTACTGTGAGGGTGGTGAGGCACTGGAACAGGATGCCCAGAGAAGCTGTGGATGCCCCATCCCTAGAAGTGTTCAAGGCCAGGTTGGATGGGGCTTTGAGCAACCTGGTCTAGTGGGAGATGTCAGTGCCCATGGCAGGGGGATTGAAACTAGATGACTTTTAAGGTCCCTTTCAACCCAAACCATTCTGTGATTCTATGATTTCCAAGGGCAATCAAAGGAGACCTCAGGGCCTTGCAATGGTTAGTGAGGGAATGTAGAGCAGAGGTAATTCTTTCCTCTATCCTTCCACTTGCAGGCAGTGACACTGAAAGAAACAAATGTGTCCATGTATTAATACATAGCTCCATGACTGATCTAATCACCACGATTTTGAGCTTTTTTGATAATGGGATGGTCTACATGGCACCAGGCTTACCAGTGTCGGATCGCCCTTCTTGATAGAGGATCTTGCTCCCTATTGTTCCAGGGACAAGTGCTAGTGAGAGCCCTCAGCCTGTTGCCCTGAGACATGCTGGCTATACTGCAGCACACTTGAGGTCTTACAGAGATGAGCCAGAGGCTCCTGAGGTAGTAGAAGCTAAGAGGGAAACACCAGTGGAATACCTCAGAGGAGTTAAGGTGTGTTCCTCTAAGAAGGTGACACGGCTGACAGCCCAGCTGAAGTGCCTCACACCAACACACACAGCATGGGCAACAAACAGGAGGAGTTGGAAGGCACTGTGCTGTTAGAAAGCTACAACCTTATTTCCATACTGAAACTTGGTAGGACAAATCCACGACTGGAGTCATGAGATGGCACTGCAGGGGACTTGGACTAGATGAACTTTTAAGGTCCCTTCCATAGAATTCTGTGGTTCTATGATTTTATTTCTACGTAAACTTCAGATTTAAAGTCCCTCTCAGCTGGAAGAAGAAATTCACAGTACTGCTTTTCATCTCCTAGGAAAGTATTGAAGCTGGAAGTGGAAGTAACTGTTACTCACTAGTCTCTTCCCAGGGACAGGTATTTTGGTTTATTTTGTTAGCTTGCTTTTGGACAGTGGGTAAGAGGAAGAAATCTTCTGCCTAAAATGAAACCTCCTTTTTACTAGGTGGCATATGTCCATTTTCCAGAGCATAGCTTTTATAAATTATTCATTTTGGAAGCTACTTTGCTCTTCACAAAGTGTATTTTCTAGTATGGCATAATACAATAAGCCCTTGCTCACGTAGCATGCTAAACCTCCTCCCAATAAGCAGGACATCATGAAAAGGCTGTATTACATGCTTTTCTTCCAGAAACTGAATGCTTCAAGGACATTACAGAGCAATTAAAAAGTTAGTTTAAATCTGTGGGTGAATTCTCTACCAACACCCACTCTAGTTCACAAATCAAAAAGCAGCCTTTTGCCCCTGTCACAGAGGGGAAAGAAGTTTTAAAAATACAAAATTACCCAAACTGTTTGAATGTATCTTAGACAAAGAACCCTGTAACCACACAAGGAAACATTCCTGTTTGTCCCCTGGCCTTCAACAACACAGTTCACTTTTTAAAATTAACAAAATATGACAAGGAACATTTGACACAGAGAATATACTATTTTGACTCCATATATGTAATAGCCTGAAAGAACAAAGATCTGTTAGGGCAAATTACCAATGGCTTATTCTCACCAGAAAGCGAAGATGTCATCCCACTGTCACAGAAATTCTCCTGTGCCTTGAAGTTTTCCATACTTGGAATTTCTTACGAATCACATTATAAAGTGAAATTCTGCACTGAGTTACACTGCCCATCTCCCTTCGCTAAGTACTTCTTTCAGGCTGTTATTTTCTGAAAGAGATTCAGGCCTATACAAGCATT